ATTACAATTATTAATTTATATTAAATTTATTTCACTAGCTAATCTTATCACTTGTCTTATCAATACCATGGACATAACTTTACCACGAGGAAACATATTTTGGGAATTATAGATACTAACTATAAACCTATCGATAATGATCGTCGAGAAGTACCGATCACATCACGTGTCTTCCATAGACATTTGATGATGCATCGAATGAAGCGCAAACCCCGATGCTGCCTATCCGTACTGCCATTACTTGCAGGACACTGCTGAGCACAGTATTTTTAATCGCACACACTGAGATCAACTTCAGGAAGCAAGGAAGGTGGTCGTCGGCAACCGAAACATCACCCCGAGTGAAGTTCAGGATTTGTTATGTGGCCCTACCAGTTATCTATCACACGGGACTGACCGACTATAGGCTGCCTTTCAACGTGCCACCCAGTCCTCCTATGATATAGTTGAGGACATATTAAGCAACAAAGAACATGATGAGAAGATAGCCGAGACTGAGCAAGGGTCAGTCTAGGGGTAACCTCCCCAACCAAGTCTCCCCTGGACAAGCAGTAGAATGTGAACGCAAGTCAGCGGGTACGTACAATACCGGGCCGGGAATAAGAGCAGCAAACATTACCGGACTATAATTATTAATTATAATTTGTGCATATTGAATTGTATAAAGTGGTGCAACACAACTTACAATCGACAGAAGTGTTATCTTTATTATGTATATTGTATATTATATGGATCATACATCAATAAATGATGGTAACAAAGGATAAATACTATTGACACAGAGCCAGGGCATATTTATAGGGTCTGAGGGGGCCTCAGACCACTTTCAAAATTTCAGAAAAAATTTTAAGCCTATTTTTACCCCATGAAAAATATAAATTTTAAAAACTCATATTGTAATTGTTTTATGAATTTTTAATTTAATATTGTTCATGTTGTTTAGTATACCTTTTAATTTTGTATTAATATGTAGGTATTTTATTTCATTAATTTTGTAAAAAAAAGAGTTATGATTACACAATAAAAATTATAATTGTTTACTAAAATATATTTTATGTTTTTAATTAGTTGGATTGTGAAATTTTATTTATAGAAAATTTCCCAGCTCCTACCCAAAAATTAGAAATTACTTGGAAAATATTTGTAAGTTAATATTAATTTTTAAAATAAAATTATTTTAGATGTTATAATACATCGTTATTAGATCGATCAAGAACATTTTTCACTAACGAGTTCTATTATTTTTTCTTTAACAAAATATTGACAGATAATAAACCAATAGTATATAAAATATTTAAAGTATATGAGAGTAAATAAAACAAATATTTTATGACTTATATAAATATATATTTTTAAAATATAAATTAATATCAAATGTAAGCATAACTGTACAAGTATATATTTACAGTGGTGATGCAAATAGGTTAAATTTTAATCACATGATCCGTGAAAAAGTGGGGTTGGGTGGTCTTTGTAGAACTGACTTAGGACGACCTCACTTTTTAATAGTTTTACGTAATTTGAATGATATCACTTGTGTTCCCACGTGCCATAAAAGGGTTGGAAATTGTCAAATAGAACTGTTTTATTATTTTTAAAGTTTAATTCATAAACTAAAGTAGCTACTTATTATTAAAATATGTATATATATAGTTTTAATTGTAATATATGTATATTATAAATATTAAATTATTCATTTACGAACTTTTGATATTTATTAAATGTAAATTGTCAATATGAAAACTGGGAAAAATTGAATAAATTTAATCAATTGTTCTTAATCCAAAACATTTAAATCCACATTGCAAAATAATTATATTAATTTAAGAAACGAATTCAAACATATTAAAATAAATAATTAATTTACCTTATTTTTATAGAGTGTAAATATTGGATGGTTTGAACGACTGGATAATTAAAATCACACTAACACAACATATGTTGTGCTAACGTGTTATAATAGTAGAACTGGACATGCATTTCTCATACATTTAATAAAAAAAAAAATTTATTTTCAAAATTAAAATTCAGTAAAAAAGCTACACACGTAGATAATCCCGCGCAAAGAGTTGAACGAAGAAATGACGGTCTGGACATGTGGCACACGTTCAGTAAACTGAAAGGAAAATGTTTCGTGTCGTTAGGTAGCTTGATCGGTTTTAGAGAGTAGGAGTACACTATATTGTTATACGTTAGCGGTTGCACAATAACTTTTACACATTTAACAATAAACGCATAAATGAAAATAATTAATATTTAGATATAAAATATTATTCATAGATTTATTTCTTACATGTATATGAATATAATATTTTAACTTTATAAAATAAGATTTTACAATAAATTAAGTACTATAAAGAGAAATTAATTATATATTTTCAGAACATATAAAGAAATTTATACCAATAGTAGTTTTCAGAAATGAATTTTTTGAAAACATATTTCCTTGATATTTTTTTTCTGAACATTGTCATTTGTCTATTAAAATAACCCATCAGTATCAATTATAATAAAGATTAATATCTAAATTAATACTACACAATAAGTTTAAATGTTTGATTTAGAGACTAAATGAATGAAATTATAACTTAATTAGAACATTAATCTTAGAAAAAGAACAAATAAAAGTGTAAAATGATTACAGTAAATACTGAATAGCCGTAATCAATTTAATACGTTCTTAAGCTTTTATAAAAGCTAATTTCATAAATAAAATATAACTATTAAAATAGCATCATTATCACCAAGTTTTCTTCCTTTGTGAAACTTTAATTTTTTACGTCAGTAAAATTAAACTGTTCATTCAATCATGTTTCATTATAAATGCGGTTAAAAAGTTTTTATTGGATAATAATTGGTGGATTAGCTTCTAATTAAAAAATTGACAGAAGAACTACAAAGTGAAAATGTATTGCAAACATGTTCAACAAAGCTTATCTATTTTAAAGAATGAAATTAAAATTAAAAATTTATCTAAATTTTGTAGCATACATTTTGGTCATATTGTCATATAGACTTCCTAAATATAAATCGTTATAAATTATTTTATTATTATTATTATATTATCTAATAGATATACCATATAATATAATAATAGTATGATAACAAATAAATATAATCTATATAATTACAATTGATTTTTAATTGTTATCAATGAACTCGAAACAGAACCATGAAAACTAACTTTTTTTTTCTTTTTTTCAACTACTTTTCCTAAAAAAATATATTTTTTATTCAATATGATTATTTTTTTTAAAAAATACGTTAGTAATATTTGTATTTTCTATCTCCGTGTCTAACTAAAAAAATACCTATCAAAAATTCAATAAACAAAATCAACCCCCTTCAAAGCTAGAATAAGAAGAAAAAAATACTGAATTTAATAAATATTCTACATTGAAATATTGTTTATTTGAATTAATACTTATAAATAGAAGAGATAAGAAACTGATAATGATTTTGATTTTTGTGTATTGTATACAATTGGTTTACATTTTCATAACAAATAAATAAACCAAATCTTTTTTTAAATATTATATAAAAGTAATGCTACGCTGAAAAAAAATAAAACAATTGCTTTACAGTAAAATTCTAAGCTATTTTTAAAGTAAAAACATTGTTGAAAACTTTTCTTATAAATTAGCATAAAAATCGATTTAACAAAACTTGTTTTTTTTTCTCCAAATATCAACAATCTGTTGTGTTGTAAAATAACAATATGTTATCGTTTATCAGAGCCCAACTTAGAGGGGGGCTAGGGGGGCTACAGCCCCGGGCCCCGATATTATTTGGGGCCCCGGGCCTCTGTTGACAATTAAATATTTAAGTGGTATTGTAAATTTTTAAGATATTATTTCTTTCGTTTAAAATTTACAAAACAAATTAGTCATGTTTCGTAATGGTTTAAAATTATCATCTAATCGATAAAATAAAGCTATTACATTTTGAGATAAAGTTGGCCAAAAATTACCTAAATTAATGAATTTTTTTAAAACTTTCAACGGTGTGAACGAAGTTGAAGTAGAAGCTAATACAAATAATAAAGATGATTTGGTTCTAAATAATAGTTATCTTGATGTTGAAAACATAAATAACAATAGTAATAGTATTATGTCTAATACAATAATCACTTCAAACTATGATGCTTTAAATTTTTCTGAAAATGAATCTGACAATTGTTCTGCAGTAGAAAATTCAGTGATTGCTACTAATTTTAATTCGGATGTTCATAACTTTGAAATTGATATTGAATCATATCAAGATCCGGGAATGTGGCCTTTAGTGTTTAACAACACTTTTATAGAATTATGCTGCTTAAAAGGACCAGAATTTTTTAAGAATATGGATCCAAAAAAATTTCATTCTTCCGAAAAAAAATTTAAACATTATAATCGCTCATTAAATATCTCATGATTCGAATTAAAATTGCCTAATGGTGAAATACACTCACGTAAATGGCTTATGTTTTCTGAACAAACTGGCAACGTTTACTGTTTTGTTTGTAAACTACTTAATAAATCAAATAATTCAAATTTTATTAATCCTGGTTTTAACAATTGGAAAAAATCTCACGAAAAAGTTAAAGAACATGAAAATAGTGCACACCATCGTAAATCAATGTTAACTTGGTTAGATCGTGTAAACACTAAACATCGTATAGACAAAACTATGGCCGAAAAAATGTTGAATGAAAAAAAGTATTGGGTTAAAGTGTTGCACCGTGTAGTATCAATTGTTAAATTTTTGGCTGTTCGTGGGTTAGCATTTGAAGGTAATGACCAGGGCTGTGAATTTAATGCACCAACAAAATATTAAATATGCACTAAAAAATGTCAAAATATGCACTAATAAATATCAAAATATGCACTAAAAATATCAAAACATGCATAAAAATATGCTATTAAAATTTCGTAAAATATGTACTAATTTTTCAAAAATATACAAAAAACAACAAAAGTTATTTTTTAAATACTAAATATAATTGTTAAAAATTTATGGGTATTACATGTTTATATAAATTTAAATTAATTGCGATTTTCATCATCGTCATTTACGGCATCTATATAAAAAAAATAAATATAAATATAAATATAAATTTAATATTTATTATTTTACCTCTAAAGTAATTATTGCATTGTAAGATTAATGATTTTTTGAGATTTTCAAACTTGAAAGAACTCCTGATTGGTGCCAATATATTCTTATATAAAGAAAACGATCGTTCTACATCTGCGGATGTTATTGATGCAAACTTAAAATACGCCATGTCGCTACTGGTTAAATCTTCTGGTATATCCAAATCACCTACATTCTCTTCTTTGCCAGTTAATATTTTTGAAATATTACAAACAATTTGAAATCCTTTGTTTTTGTTGAGAACTGTTTGTAATTTTTTATTAATATCAATTCCAGCGGTGCCTGTTAATTGACTAAACTTTGATGAAATATCTTGTATGATTGCAATACCTTCAGATAAGGGTATACCTTGTTTTTGTAGACGCGTTATAGCTATGGGAAGACATGCAAAATTCGAATGTATAAAAGTCAAGTTTCCTTTCATTTGAGGAATTTTAAAATATTTTTGAGCATTTTTTATGGAAAGCGCATCATTCTCATCAAAACTTTCAATTATGTTTTTTACAGTTTGAAAGTTTTCACTATAATATAATACGGAAGAAATCCACGTACCCCAACGTGTCAGAATAGGTTCAGGAGGTAGTGATATATTTGGTGCATCAGTATGAAATTTTTGAACACGATAAGGCGCCTTTTTGAATACTCGTTTAACATTTGCTACCAGTTTATCAACTTTTGGAAATTGAATACGTATTTGTTCAGCGACTCTATGTAATCCATGAGAAGTACAAGTTACGTGAACCATTTTTGGATACAACACTTTTAATGTATCACCAGCCTTCACCATATAAGGCGCAGCATCACTTAAAAACAGCAATACATCGTTTCGTCTTATTCCGTCAGGCCATAATAAATAAAGTGAATTTTCAAATAGGGAACATATTGTACTATGATTTCTTTTCTGTAATTGTTTGAGGTTAAATAAAAAAAATTCACCTGGACGATCGAGGAGTAATGTACCGATAATAACTGAAGCAATAAAGCGGCCCTCGGCATCTGTTGTCTCATCTATTGAGACCCAAATTTTCTTTCCCGCTACTTTTTGTCTTATTTCATTTAAAACTTCCTGGTAACAATGGTCAACATTAACTTTGCGTAATGTTATTTGATCTGGAATATTTTGTCCCGTATATTTTATCAAAAATTGTTTGAAATATGTATTACTTAATTTATTTAACGGGATGTTAGCACTAAGCATGGCTTTACATAAATCATTATTAAATGATGATTTAGATGACGAATCTTTTGAGATAAGTTGCTGAGTTTTTTTTTTTTTCTGTACGATTAACTCCTCTTTGGTGTTTTTCAGTGGCTATGTGTTGTGTTACAGAAAAACGTTTATCACTCGTAATTTTAATATTGCATACTGTACAAAATAAAATTTTACTGTCTGTTGTAAATATATTTCCAAATTCAGAAACGTAGTTTCTTAGACCGGTTGCAACCGATAATTTTTCTTTTAGCATTTTAAAATATACAGTAAAACCAGAAATATAAATAAGGAGCTAGTAGGTACTGATTAGGCGCAATAAAATAATAAAATAAACAAAACAAAACTATAACACTCGAATTACGAACACACGCACATCACGGATCGGCGATCGCATCGAACTAATAGAAATAGGTATTATTTTTACAATTGTTGTCCATCAGGCATCAAGTGCAAGTTAATATAGATAAATATTATTTTCCATTTATTTATATTTATAGACCACAACAATACAATAATAATACTGGTCTTGGACAATATTCGGCAAAATAAGAAAACAACTATTTATACCCGAATTTACGTGTAGTCAACCCAACTAAAAATAGAATAAAATATTCAAAAATAATAACATTTCTATAAAAAATAGTTAGATTATAAATAAATTTTATATTATATATTTTATATTTTAGACCAAATTGACCGAAAAAGTAAAAATATTAAGAAAAAAGCATTAATACGAAAAAAGTATAAAAACATGCATTTATATGCCCTAACTAGTTAAATATGCAAAAATATGCACTATAAGATTTCGTATTTTAATTATAAGTAACACAATTCAAATTTTGGCCGAATCCATTTTCTTTTATGATGTAGCAAAAAAAAACATGCAAATGCATTAAATTTACAGCCCTGGTAATGACTCACGGTTGGGTTCTCCGAGTAATGGAAATTTTCTTGGAATTCTTGAAGTTATTTCCGAATTTGATCCCTTTTTAAAACAACATATATGAATGAGCGAGCTAATAAAAGATCAGGCAATGTATTTTATTTTTCGATGCGTATTTGTAACGAAATAATTGACCTAATGGCAAATTAAGTTTTATTAGAAATAACTAAACAGTTAAAAGATACTAAATACTTCGGTCTAATTTAAGATTCTACTCCAGATAGAGCACATAGAGATCAATTTGCTGTTGTTGTTAGATACTGTTATAAAGGGTTAGTTGTTGAGCGATTCTTAACATACATTCATATATTAAGCCATACTGGTATTTCAATGGCCGAAAAAGTAATACATTTTTTGGAAAATAATAATATTAATTTGCAGTATTGTAGAGGTCAATCATACGACAATACTAATAATATGACTGGTATATATGAGGGTTTACAGGCTCAAATAAAAAAAAAATGTAGTATTGCTTTATTTGCACCTTGTTTTGCTCATTTCCTAAATTTAGTAGGGTCCATGCAGTGAAAAGTTGTTTAGAAGCAATCAATTTTTTTGGTGTTGTTCAAAAATTGTATGAATTTTTTGCGGCCTCGACACATAGATGGAATTTGCTTTTGACTAGTCTAAAATAGGAAGAGAAAAATAAAATAATCGTTTTGAAAACATTAAGTAATACTAGGTGGGAGTGTCACACGGAGTCTTGTAAAGCTATTATCTTAAATTATGACCAAATTATATGTACATTAACAGATATTTTTGAAAATTGTAATAAAAAACAAGAAAATCACCATGAGGCGAAATCAATGAAAAATAAAATAATAAAATTTAAAACAGCTTTTATGGCAGTTATGTGGAGTGAAATTTTATCGCAGTTTAACAGTATCAGTAAATACCTTCAAAAACCGGGAATAGATTTATTTACAGCCGTAAATTTATTAAAAGGATTAAAAACTTATGTTAGTTCATTAAGAGAGAAGTTCATATATTTTGAGAATAAAGCAAGGGTATTATCAACAAATATTTTGCCCTGTGTTGAAAAAAGTGTAAGAAAAAAAAAATTCTCGGATGGTACAATAGAAGGAAATTCAAACTATTGTGGTATAAGAAAGTTAGAGATTGATACTTTTTACGTTATTATTGATCGTTTAGTTACAGAACTTGATAAAAGATTAAACGCATATGATAATGTTTGTAATATTTTTGGGTTTATTACAAAATTTGGTTAAGAATTATTATCAGAGACTTCTGCCGACATATTCATTAGCACATTTAAAGATGATATTGATACAACTAATATAAAACAAGAGATTGTGCACTTTTCAAATTATGTAATGCAGTTAAATTTACCAATAATTACTCCTCAAAATATTTACTTATATGTACATGAAAATAATTTAAAAAAAGTCTTTCCAAATGTGTACATTTCTTTACGAATTTATTTAACTTTGCCAATTTCGAATTGTGAAGCAGAAAGAACAAATTCAAAATTAGAACTTATTGAAAACACCAGAAGAACGTCCCTTTACCAAAAAAAAATTAAACTCACTCGTTCGTCTATCTGCTGAAAGGGAAATAACTGACACATTGAATTTTTCAAATCTAATTCAGAAGTTTAGTGAACTTAAATCTCGAAAGAAACCATTGACTTAAATTTTTATATTTAATTTAGTAAACATTAATAAATAATTAATATTTTTTATTTTTACTGGTACTTAATAATTATTTTTAAATATTATACAACTATTAACAATTGATTTTTGATCTGTAAATAAAACTTTTGTTCACTAATGCAATAATGTTATTTTAATGTTGACTGTAATTTTTAAATTATATTAAACAAATATTAAAGGCCCCTAAAATTATATTGCCCCGGGCCCATATTTCCTAAGTTGGGCTCTGTCGTTTATGAATGGATCATTATTCTCAGATATTTTTAAAGTAAATCAAATAGGTACTTAAGAAATTATTATGACACCAAGCATGATAGGATGTCTATAATTCATCCATTCAGTGGCGATTATACATGATGTTCAAGGAGGGAGGGCGAGAATAAAGCCAACTCTCCATCATGTCGTAGCATTTTTATAAATATAATATAAAATATACATACGGATTATAGGTATAAATATACAATTATGTTTATATATCAATAATATTAACACACATTAATGTATTAAATAAATGTATTTAATAATAATATTAATAATTATAATTATATTGGTCGTGTGCAACCAGCGGCGGATTGGCCCATCGGGATACCGGGAAAGTTCCCGGTGGGCCAGAAGTCGTACTATAACACTGGGCCGATGTACATGGATTAAAAATTATTTTATAAAAATAATGTATTAATAAGTATATTGTATTTAATTGTAAGATTGTGATAAAAACCTAGTATAAATGTGATGTATAACGTTCTACAAGCATTTAATCCATGAATAAAGGAGACTTTTATGGAAAATTATTATTATTGGATGGTGAGCCGATCATGCAGTAATTTCCCAGGCCGAAATGTTTAGGCAATCCGTCGTTGTGTGCAACCAAAACATAGTATAGAGTATACATAGAGTATGATAGTATACAATACTATGATAATATATTATCAGTGGTTAAAACCGAAACATTTTTTATTATCAAATCATAAGTTTGAAAATTTGCAGATAGATATTGTTGGGCCAGCGATATACTAAATTTAAAAAACCAAATCCCAAGGGGGAGCGATCCACCTATCACGCTCCTTATAACCGCCACTAAATCCATTTAATTGTTCAAATAAATCGTTTTTATTTGATATATTGAAATAAAATCATTTTTAAGAAATGTATCATTTTTTATTTACTCAAAATTAGAAATATTTTCTCAAAATAAGATAAACATAGTTGACATTGAATAATGGTTTAAGAATTCCACCGTAGTAATGGAAAACACATTGTGCAATTAAATTTGGGGTGGGATCCAAAAATGTGTCATTAATAAACTCATATTTTGTCAGTAATTAAATTTATTTAGATAATTTTTCTAAGGATTTTAATATGACGATACTGCATTATTAAATAAAATTAACAAAATGTAATATGTATAACAAAATGTAACTTTGAAACATAAATTAATCTGTTGTATTATTGTAATTACAAGTATTATTATTTGTATTATTTTTTTGTGTTTTTATATGTTTATAACTAGAGTTCGGATGTTTATGATATTAAATATTTTTTTCTATTAATTCAGTTTAATTTGGATCTAGATACAAATATGATTCATAATCACTCAATAAAATAATATTATTTTATTTTGCATATTTTTTGCATATCCTATGCTCCTATATTTAAAATGCATATTTTTGGGATTTTAGTACATTACCGAATTTTTTTAATACTATTTAATTTAACAGGTAGATAAATGATAAATTAGTGTTTACCTAATATTGAAAAAATATAAAAAAAAAAAATAACAACTTATAAAAATTAAATACATACTTATAAATTATAATATATTTTTAATTTTAAATACTATATATATTATTTTGCATAGTTTGTGTTTTCTTATTCTAAAATACATATTTGGTAATTATTTAGTGCATAAATGCATACATATTACAGTCATTTTAAGTGCATAAATATCCAAATCCTACTTATAACACATTAAATTTAAATCATTCAAATGATAAACAGTAATAGTAATTATAATACAGGATTGTAATAGATATAGATTTTACCCCAGATTTTAATTTAATATTATATGTTTACGATTCATGTTATAACAATAACAATATGTTAATATTAGAAAAAACATATACTTAGTTTCAAAATATATAAATAAGAAAATAGTTAAATGCGTGTCTTAATAGTGGCATAACTATTAGGATGGGCAAAATGATTGCTGTCTCAAGCGGTAAATATTGTAAAAATAATGTTTTAATAATCTGTTAAATTAACATTATATTTTATTTATTATGCAACTTAACTACTATCAACCAATATAAATAAATAACTGTTTTAATTTTATCAGTTAATAAACATAAGCTCTTGTTAAATTATATATTTATTATACACATACCTTATATAATACAAAAAACATTTCTGAAACACCTGGATATCATATTAACTTTTAAAATACTAATTGATTCTTGAACATATTAGTAAAATTAATTTGTAAAAAAAGAATACTTCAACAAAATGTTAAAACATAAATTAATTAATTAACTTCTGGTTAAATCAAATAAAGAGTACATATTATAAATACTGAATACAGTAAAACAAAAGTTTTAAAAATATCATACCTGATTATTGTTTATGAAGATAATCAAGAGAAATCATACTTTTGAACTAAAAAGTTCAATTGAGTATATATGTAAGTGGTTAATTTATATTTATATTAGTGTATAAAACTTACGATTTCGTATTTCGACCGATATCAATAAATGGAATTGGCATTACAAGGTTTTCTCATAGCTTAAAATCGAATTAATCAAGTTAAGTACATACAATTAAGTATCGACAGAGTATTACGAAATATTAATAAGAAAAAGTTAAATAACTGAACGGCTAGTATTGGTATGTGACACAAGTCATCGCATTTAGAGTACAACATTAAAAAATTAAAACTATAGTAAAATCAAGAACAGTCAAAACTAGATTTACATTTATTTATCAGGTGACATTGCTGTTATCAGATAACTGCGATGACAGCGTGCGCACATAGATAACCAGTGTATGACAGAAAAGTATTGATTATTTTCCAAAGAGAGTGTAAGTTGACAAATATATCCATATTATATAACATAGCGCCATGTTCATAAAATAGAATCATTACCTATGTATATTTGGTAGACGCAGATTTTGATGAAATAACAACGAAAATAATTAAAAACAACCTAATCAAAAAGTAACAAGAGCATGAAGATTCAACTGAGCGCAGAATCGACCAGAATATCAGTAAGCTGTCACAGCAATGAACGTTATGTACAAGGTAAAAAAAATCATTTTGACAGAAATTCAAATTCTCTCTGATTAAGTAAAATAGCGTTTGCCTGGAAAAATATCAAAGCAGAGGCTAAAATATATGTTTTTTCGTACTGCAAACTTGTGGATTTTATCATACCCTCCTTTAAACGTTAACAGTTATGAGTAATACATTTAAATAAGTTGATTGATTAGATTTTGCTGATGATACATCTAGGAATTTTACAAATATGTAAAATAATTGAATAAAAAAATTTTTAATTTAAAACAAATAACATAATATAGAGAATAGAACCATACAGTGGCGTATACAGAAAATATTTTCGTGGGGAGGGGGGCTACTATGGACAGAGTTAAATTACTACTGCTATCTAAGAATTACTAACAAGACACAGTAGGTATTTCCCAAAACTATTTGACAAAGGCAATAAAAATTGTTTCAACTGATCACATTATTTACGTATTTCCAATAGTAAGTATAATACTGTATTAATAAACAAAGGATATATGATGTACTTCTTGACTATTTAATATATGTCTACTGGACTATTTCTATAATAAAATATGCTATGAACTCGTATTATAATTATAATTTATTTATTCGTATATAATTAACTCTTAATAATAAGGTATGAACCATAAAATGAGAACCTTAAAACATTTTAATGAACTATTGAAGTACAATTGAATAAAATAAATGCAACCAGGTTAAAATCATTTTTCTATTTTTTTTATAAAATTATTTCTAAATAAGCATAAAGCACCATTAAAATATAACAAACGTTTAAAATAATTTTTAAGTTTTTTGGAACATTTCAGGGGGGGGGGCTGTAGCCCATTAAGCACCTTCCCCCTGTATACGCCACTGGAACCACAACACATTTTTTAATTTCGTATTACACAAAGTGTGTCGTACTGCAAACAATAATTAAAATTATTTTAGTCCCTGGATCAAAGGATCTTTCTATATAAAATATTGCCGAGTGCGCAGAAATTACTGACGGGTATTCATACATAATATATGAACATTTAATATTAACAACAAATTTTGATGGGGTAACTTTATTTAACTTTATTATTATATCTTTCCAATATTCTTATACATGTATTTATCATTTACGAATGTTTCAAAGTGTTTAAACATAATATGATTATTTATTATTGTGATAATATTATTATGATAAGTGGTAGTATATTATACTATTTAAAATAAAAAGTGTATGTTATTCACAAGACAATAAAACAATCCACATCTAAAACCTCTATATCAAAATTGTAGCTCTTTGATACTTCAAAAATGATCTAAGTTTATGAGTTTTAAAATATTTCTTAAGCTTTTTAAAGTTTATTCGAGACGGATTCTTATTAAAATAAAACATGACATACCTTATATTATATAATTAATAATTCATAATATAAAAACTGAATATGTTCTGTTTATCGAAAGAATAAAAATGAAATTTTACATCACACAATGGATGGAATGGATGGATGGATGGAAGTATTTCATAGGTATTTCCACATCACTACTACATGTCTGTATCCGAATACCAAAAAACTAAACTCAAATAATACTGAACTTGATAAATTGAATATTGCCATCTTAGCAAAACAACACGTAAAAAATTCTCAAGCACACGTCGAATCAAATTCGATCTAATTTAAACAAAATATTATCATTGACAAAAAATTATAGAATTAAAATGGATTTTGAGATTATATCCATTAGATCTAACTTCGCTTTACTGTTAGTAGTTCAATGTTTCATGCTGATGCAAAAAAAAAAATACAACAAAAAAAACAACAGTTGTCATAAAAAAAAATCCAATGGGGACGCCCTTTTTGCATACCCTAAAAACCACCACTGATGCCAGATAGATCAGTAAACAGTTGATAACGCCGAAAAATGTTGTCTATATACTATTATGTGATAGAGACATACAAGAACTGAATACTGTGTAATAAAATAGAAAAATATAGAAATTATAAAAATTTACAACGCTTCAAATAATCAAACTAAAATGTATTTACTTATTTATGAACTTATTTTTAATTTTAACAAATAAATATATTACTTAACAACCAAGTACATTATAAAAAACAAAAATTAGTGATAGAACGGTATCCGAGACGATTAACTATTATAATGTAATCTACAAGTATATAAAAATAAAATTATCATTATTATTACATTTAATTGTAAAACGTACGACCTACGTATTGTGATGTTTAAATGGATTTCTATTTTTCTATAATAAAAAAGCAATTAAATAATGTTGTGTAGGTTGTATATCACTTTAATTTAAAATCAATTATTGATCAAATTAAACTAGTCCAATAAATAATATGAACAAATAAATAAAAAAATATATAATATGCTACTTCTAACTAATGGATATAATGTAATAGATTTATTTAATTATAATTTTTTTTAAGTCCTTTTGAAATATAAGATGTTTTTGATTCATTTAAAAAAAAAATAGAAATTTACAAGTGAACTTTTAACAATATCATTTATTTTATGTGCAATTAAAAAAATTAGAAACCCAATATTGTTCAAAGACTTGAACAAAATATATTAGAAATAGCTTTTTACTTTTAATTATATTTTTATATATATTAAATTATTTATTTATATTAATACTAGTATACTTATTACAATACATGTAATGTTAATCCTTATGTTGTGTGTTACAAAAGTACCAACTTATAATCATAAATTAATTATGGTTGCAAGTTGATATTGATTTATGACTCACACTTAAAAATCTTCTTAGATTATGTATTATATTTTATTGAACGATTTTATCACTCTAGGTAGAGTTATGAAATTACAATTTATTAATTATATAATAATGCTTAATTAATATATTATTGGAGGAGTGGTATGAATATTGATTACACGATGATTAAAGGTAACTAGTTTAGTATAAGTATTTCATAAGTGACCAATAGTTAAATTTTTAATGTGTTTAAATTTTGAATATCGAAACAAAATGTAACTAATAGCTCTTTAATTTAATTAACCTCACGTTAACGCCTTCAACAGTAATTATAAAATTAGTATAGGTACTAATGAAGAGATATGAAAAGCGTATTCCTATCCAAAAATTCATCTTTTAGATTTGTTTTACCTATTGTGATTATCTAATTCAATAGTGGCCAAACTTTTTTTACCTCGGGTCATAAAAAACAACTTTTTTTTACCGCGGGCCATAAAAAAATGCATAATTCAATTTTTTTTTTTTACGTAAATGTAAAATATTACAGTTATGCAAATAAGTGTTGTTATGTAGAATACTTTCGCGGGCTATATATTAAATGATGGCGGGCCGGAGTTGGCCCGTGGGCCGTAGTTTGGCCACCACTGATCTAATTCTACAAAACACTCATACGTTTTATAACCTAATATGAAATAGTTTAAGTATTTCTTCTAACCACTTATTCACAGACACAACATAAATTATTGTATTTTGGGAGAATTACTGTTTTCTTAAAGTGTTATTTGTGGTATTAATTATTAATATAGTCCCTGTATATGTATATGGTATACAAAAATAAATTTGTTTTTTGATTAAGTTGACTGGTGGCGTACAAGGATAATATAATTAATGTACAATGATCTGTATCAATAAGAATGAGATACATGAATCAATAATTTATTATGCACAAATACCATATTTCAAAATTATCTCATTAAAGGTATCTTAAAGCCATACTGAGACCTATATACTTTATTTACAACGTTCAGATTGATCTTGCTGCTACTATAATTGTATGGTGGTTAGAAAAGAATAGTATTTTTCATAGAATTACTTGAGATCAACTTATTCTACTATTCCAAATGTTCCCTTTTGGATTTCAAATCAATTAATTAATTTGAAAATGTAATAATAAAGTCCATAAATTAAAAAAAGTTCATTTAAAAAAAAAAAAAAAAACAAATGTATTGGTAAGCTTTATGACATATTTCAATTTGTACTTGAAATGTTTATATAAGGGGATGAAAATGATAATTTAACGGCATAAATTGGTAATTTATAATAAATAAGCCAATAATTACATTTATTATGAAAATAATTATTTTCATACGTTATTTTAATTTTATGTTTAACGCTATGAAATACTTAAACGTTATTTAATGTTTTTGTGTAATATACGTCTGGAAACTTTTAACCGGTTCACGTTAGCAATATTTCAAAATGTTTATGAGTGTGTACATTTAAACTCTTAATATTCTGTATTTAAAAATGTTCATGAATAATTGACAAATCAACAATTATTGCTGAGTTTAAATTTTACTAATAAATAATGTTAAAATAAACATCAAAATTTCTAAAAACAACTGTGAAGGACTAGCTTAGTAAAATGCAAATTATGTTTGATATAACCTGTATTTAATATTGTATCGTGGAATATAAGCGAAGAAGGAAGTAATGTGAATTATTTAAAAAATTAAAAATATTTAAAGTGATGTATTTCCACCGTTTGCTACCTCCTCAGGGTATCCATAAATACCTGTATGTCTGCGTGCGTGTTATTTTAATATATTATTTTCATTTTCTGATCATTAATAAAAAATTTTTTGACGCATTATCGAAGCTCAATATTACCAATAACAAAAAGATATTCCCATATAAATTACATGCTTCTAATACCCTCATAAGTTAGCAATTCTTA